ACTTGACTTTGTTTGATTAAATGTTATTATTTTAGGGTTGGTTGGGTATTGAAATATTTAACAAAATTTAGTTAATTAGTCACTTCATTATATTATATCCCTTTATATAGAAATTGACTAATTCAAATAAAGACGTTAAATATTTAAGACTAGCCGTTGGGCCGCAAAACTGAAGGTTTAGTTTAGGTTTGGCCGTTCAGTTCTCTGCGCCAACCTCTCGCTAGCCGTTGCCAACTGAAACCTCACTATTTTCCTCCTACTAAAAAAAAAAATAATAATAATAATAGCTCCTATTTCTTATCCTTGTCTTTAGACCGCATTTTTCAAAATTGTGAAGAAATTTTAGAAACAATAAAATTTATTACTTTTTGGTTACCAGACATGTTACGGTTCCTTTTCTTTTCAATAAACAGGGAAAACATATGAAAAAAGAAATATATTTTTCTTGATATTCGTGAGCGTGTCTGGACAAGCTTGTAGGTACATTTGGTTGCCAAAGAAACACATAGGAAATTAATTCTTAGTTAGAGGGCTATCATGAAATTTGAACGTATTCCCTCAAATTCTTTTGATTTAACCTTGGTTCAAAATAAGCTAACCCATGTTTGAAATAAGAAACAATTATCAAACACAATTATATTGTTCTTTTTAAAAATCAGAAAAACAAAAAACAAGAAACGTAAACGTTACCAATCGAGCAGGCTAGAAAAAAGTCACATATTTCTTAGTTAAAGTATACAATTTGTTATGTTTATGTTTGAATCAAGTTTATCCTTTATTCTTGGAGATGGGAATACCACGACCTTTTATCGGAGATATGTGTCTTACCTAATTAAGTTCTGATTAGAGTGACTAATTAAATCTTAATTGTTTATGTTATTAATAAGTAATAAAAAAATATTTATATGATAACTACATATATATAATATGATTATAGACCATGTTGGTACACTTTTTTTTTAATTATACATTTCCGAAAGTAATATTTTTAAACATATAGAAAACTTGAATGTATATAGATGAAATATATATTTAAAGCTTAATTTCCACTCTTACTAAATGACTGAATTTCCAATATTAAAAGGATCTCAAAGTTAATGTTGTACAATTTTAAAATTTAGAGACCAAATGAAATTCTTGATACAACAAGTCTCACCATCTCTTATTTTCTCGACAAAAAACTATTTGACCTTTCAAAAAATAATTTGAATTATCTTATATTAAATAAGATTATTACATTCAATAAAAATTCAACAAAAGATATATTCAATTAAAAAAAAAGTCTAAACTTTGACAATTCCATATTTTTTATTTACTATACCTTCTTTTATGTATTTATCAAAATTCATTTAAATCATATATTTAGGTATTATAGACATTTGACTTTTTAATAAGAAATTAGTACTCAAAATTAAAGTGGCTATTTTTGTATCATGCCATTAATTATTGGCAATATAGCCTTTTAAAATTCCTTTGGGTTGTATAACCTGGTGGAAGCTGTCTGGGCTTTGTTTGTTGAGTAAATTGGGCCCCGGCCCATTTCAGTTCATTCCGCAGTTTTTTTTTTCTTCCGCAAAGTATTCCGCAGAAAATTAGATACATGTAGATAATTTTAGATTTTATTACATTTATTTTTAATTAAAACGATTTAGTTCTTATATTTTTAGAAATGTTGAGTTAAAACTGTTGTTAAAATTTTGATGCAAAATTAAACTATATTACATAAGCTAGTGAATGAAATGAACAAACCTTTTCTGATTAAATATCAAAAGTTATTTTTTATTCAAAAAAATATATAAATATATATCAAAAGTTATTTAATGTTCATTCCATTTGTATTGACTTTATAACGGCAAGAAGTATAATGCTAGGGATTCAATTGTTGCATTATTTTTTCTTTCATTATATGGATTAAATTATTACGAAAAGAAGTGTCAGTATCAAAAAGATTAATATTGAATTTGGATTACTTTTTACTTTTTAAGTTTTAATAAATGGGATAAGATGATTTCAAATATGCCGGAGGGGCTGACGTGAGCATATATTGATGTCATATGTAAATCGACTGAGATAGGTATTATATGAGCGAATATTGAAAGCACATTTGGTAGCGTTCATTGTTCTTGTTTCTTTTTTCCTATTTTTTGTTTCTTGTTTCTTCAATTTCAATTAAGAAAAAAAAGTATGTTCGATAACTGTTTCTTGATTCTTATTTTTTATTTTTAATTGAAAAAAGAAACGAAAATATGTTTGGTAAATATTTATTGTTACCAAAAAAGTAAAGGTTTTATATGAAATTTAATTTTTCAAATTAAATATTCAATTTCTTTATGTTATATTTATTTTTTATATTTATTATGCATTTTTAAAATAAAAATAATAAAATTATACTTTTATTTATGTTTTAGAAAAAAATAGAAAATAGGTAGGAACAAAAAAAACAATAAATTTAATTTTTTCTATTTCTAAAATTTAATTAAAAAAATTATTAATAATAATAAATCAGAAACGCGAACAATTACCAAATACTTATATTTCTAAAAGTTAGAAATATGAAATAATTTTAAAAATATTCTACAAAAGATGGTATAGCTTTTAATTGCAGTTGAAAGAAAAGTTGAAATTGAGTGAATTCGATTAACATTCAAACTGAGATTTATTTATTTTTTATTATTTTTAATTAGGACAACACGTGAAATGATGATTTGAATCCATGACATTTTAATTAGAAATAAGTATTTTAATCAGTTAAGATATGGTAAGACAAAATTCAAATTGAGATTGGAGATTCAACTAGAGATGTTCGGGAATCTCATTTACAAGTATGATTCTGCTAAATATATATATTGGGTGGGTGGATAAGAGAAGAATACATGATTTTTTTAATGTATATATGTATAAGGAGAATATTAAATTATATATATATTAAAAAATGACGCGGGGCGGAGAACACATTCTCATCTTTGTATCATTTAGGCGGCAGGAAAAAATTTTCCCCATCCCTAATTCGTGGAGAATTTAAGCGGAGATTCTCCGTCCTATTTAGGCAGGCTTTGGCGAAGATGAAATCCCAAAAGTAAAATGCACACCTCTAGGTTTAAAGGAGGATTGTTATTAACAAAAACCACCCAACAATTACTTCCCCAATCGAAATTTCTACCTGTGTGCACCACTGATATAATAACTGAATTCAAATGTTTGAATTTCCGCCTGACACGTAGATGTTTCTATCGACATCCTCACACATCTATAGGTTCGACGTCAACACAAGCTACAAAGAGTAAATTGATATTTTCATTATATCGTAAAAGAATCGACAGGATGTAAGAAAATATCAATAAGATATCATTAATATAGACATAATATTAATAATAATAAATTTTAAGTTATTTAAAAGGGTAAAATATTTATTGGTTACTTTAAATATATTTTATGAATTTCTTAAATTTTCCAAATTTTCAAAAAATATCTATAAATGTCAATATTTCTATCAACATTTTCGTAAAACTGAGATCTCAACACTTTCGTAAAACTGACATCTCAACATTTTTACTAATTAACATCCACATTTCAGTTTTAAACTAAATTACTCTAGTTTGTTATACTATTTTAAAACTGGAAAACTTTTGGGATATTTATGTAAAATAAAGGTTAAGATTCTATTTTCGTTTTTAGCTTTATTCTACCATTCTAACCTCCCAATATTTTTTTGCCCTATATAGACCTCGACCGACCTGGATGGCTCTAAAACATAGATATGTCAGCACATTATAATGTACATTCAAAGTCACATCATTCATTTCTTATACAATAACGTCAAAATGATATCGAGAACTAAGATGATAATGGAATTTAAGAATTAAAATAAATATTTTAAAAGTTAATATATATATATATATATATATATATATATATATATATTTAGAGTCGATGAACCAAAATGATATTTAAAGCTAAAATAAATGGAACTAAAATTTTTGCTAAAAATTACTAGCCATGAGTTTCTAATAATCAAAATTGATATGCCCCTGTATGTTGAATTTCTACTCCCTACAACCTACCAAATTTCTGACTGGGCAAAGTAAGACTATGATTATGAACTAAATAATTCGTTTAGGGATATTCATGAAATTGTAGAGTTCTTCAACTCAATTCCATTTAGGAATTTATTATTATTATTATTATTATTTGTAAAGAAAAATAATTTCTAATACTAATAGACATGTTTTCTTTATCATGAAATTAAGTATTCCGCCTCAAAGGAATTACGTGCATAATTTTACTTTTATAATAAAATAAAATAATTCAAGGCTTTGTCTCCCATCGTAATGTTTAGATTTTTTTTTTTCATTTTATCTTTTTTGAGTTCTTCTTTTCTCTTTGTTATTGTAATTATATGTTTTTCAAGTATGATAATAATCAGGTGATATGTCAAATTATTTCCTAACTTTAACATTACATTAAAAAGTTGGAAAAGGAAAGGGAAAAAAAAAAGAAGCAAAAAAGAGTAAAAAAAATCAGCGGATAGGATTTTCTTCTCCTTTTCCGGTAGATCCTTACCGTCCATCTCCAGACCCCACAGTTTTCTCCATCCCGTAATCTCCGCCGCATTATTCCGCCGCCGTCGGCAGCCGGCCGCCAACCCAAGTCGGCCGGACAGGTTCCGGAGGCGGCGGCAACCGCCCCTGCGCCACCATCAACGACTTATAGATCTCAGTAATCACTTTCTCATCATACTCCTTCAGCGTGCTCCTCCCGACGCCGTCGCCGCCGCCGGCACCGATGACCCTCGAGTTCGCAAACGCCAACATCGCCTTCACATACGAATCCCTCAGCCAGAGGAGCAGTTTCTTCAGCGTCGGCAGCCGCCGGAGCAGGCGGAGCTTGGGAGAGATCTTGAGCCGCCAAATCCGGCGCCGCCGCCGCATCCCTCCGGGCGCCCCAAGTTGCACCGTCTCCCGCCGGGCACGGGGCACCGGCCCAGTAAGTTTCCGGTAACTCTTCCTCCTCCAATAGCGCCTCAGCCCATTGTAGACGCTCACCGATACACCTTCCATTGAAATCTAAATCCACAAATTGGGAATGGAGAGAGAAATTTGAAGTAATTTAAAGAGAGGAAAAGTTAAATTAAAAAAAAAAGGTATATGATATAAATGGAAAGGAAGATAATTAATAATTCACCTAAGTTTGTGAAATGGAATTAAATATTTTGTTGGAGGGGAAGAAGGGGGGGTGATGCTAATAAATGGGCACAGAAACTTTATCCTAACCTATATTTGCTTGCTGGATTTGCCACCCAAATTGAATGAAGGTGGGCAGCCAGATGTGTGAGATCCTCACCATTGAATAATTTTTTTTTTTATGTGCATTATGGTGAGATTATGATAAACAAAAAAGGGAAAGCATTTAATTCTTTATAAGCTTTCTTAGTCAAGTTTGACATTATTGGACACGCTTGGATCACGTCTTGAATTTGTATATTTTAATATTGAGAAATCTAATTTGAAATATATGTATAAATATTATAACAAAATTATGATAAAAGAAACTCTCTACTGACACTTGTTTTTTTTTCATTACACTTTCTCTCCTTCTCGTGAAGACTGAGTTTTTCAAAGGAGATAGAGAAAAAAATGGGGAGGAGATGACAGTAGCCTATGACCTGTTCCCCTCCTCTACTTCTCCTCTCCGATAGGGTGTACGTTTTCTTTCAGTCTTCTGACTGAGTTGTTTTTTTTTTCGTGGTTTTTTTTCAATAACTAAGTAGCATAGATTAAGATATAAAAGTGAACTCTCTTGTTTTTTGGAGGCAATTTCTGGTAAAGATACTTTTTCCTGTTGGTTTCTGGAATGGCAAATAGGGTCATGTTTGAGATCTCCTCGTTGGATGTTGATAGTTCTGTTGATAAAATCAAAGGTAATATTGTTATGTATAGTTCATGGCTTCGTCATCAGAGTATTTTAGAGAGTTATTAAGCACAAAATTGACTCTTAATTTTCGTTGCATTCTAGTTCAAAGAACTTCCATGATCTAGAGGAAAGGATGATGGAGCAGAAGGTGGGCAACGGTGGAAGTGCAGCGGCGATTGGCTCGAACACGGTTTTGAAATCTATGGAGGCTATCAGTCTTTTGAGATCTGTGAACAACATAATTTGGGGATTTCGCCTTATCCTTCCTTACCTGTCATGGTGGAGAAGAAGACAACGTTGGAGGCGATGTCATTGAATGAGTTTGAGGATGTTGGAACTTTGGAGAAGATGTTTGTTTATTGGGCTAAATTTTATACGTGTTCTTAGTTATTTGAACAAATAAGCTGTTTTATTGGCTAAGTGTGCAATGATCATTTCTCTATTTTTTAGAATAGTTGTTTTCTTTCGTAGATTCCGATTGTGGTGAATGGTCACTAAGATGTAACTTTTAGTAGTCCTATGTATGTGTAATCCAGTGTCTCTTTGATTAAAAAAAAGGAAAAAGGAAAAAGAAAATCAATTTCTCATAACTTTTCATCTAGGGTAATATTTATTTTCTGTATTTATTTGAAAATGACATTCAATTTGGAGATATTAAATTTTAAGGTTGTTTGACTTGGGGCGTTAGTTAGCTAGCTATGTAAATGAAGGAAAAAGGAAGGGGAATTTTTTACAATAATATCATGAATGGATCATCTGGATGCGTCATTGGATTAGTTTGAATGTAGGTAGATTTTTATTTTCTTTTGTCAAGAGGTATATTGCGCGGGTGTTAGTGTCTAATTTCTTGTTAAATTATAAGTTTGAATCATTAACTTATTCATTTTTATAATCTCATATTCTTTAGAAAATAGTATGATTTTTTAATTTTCGTACCAATTATATTTACATGACAAATAATAAAAATTAGTAGCTATAAAACTGATTTTTGCTCGCTTGGGTAGTTTTAGACTTTATCTTCAAATTAGGTTGTTACTTTTATAACGGTAAAAAAGTCTTCACAATTTTTTTTTACCATATTTTACTCATTGTATTAAATAATTTCTTCGTAAATTAACTCATTGGTCTTCCATTTAATTCACCCATATTTTTGTCGTACAATTTGTGAGGTCAAATCATTATAATTTCTTGGGCATGTGCTTCCTTAAATAGTTTTACTAAATAATAAAAACCTTTTATTTATTTTTTACTACTATAGACTGAATTTTAACTATTATTGTAGCTGAAACCCCACGCAAGCCGGTAGAAATTGATTATAGATTTATAGTGGAGGAAAAATGCAAGAAGTAATCATAACTGAGGCAAAAAATTTTATGGGATTAAATTAGTATTCATCGTAAACTTCAACTTTACCACTTTCGGGATTCGTTCGGTAATGTTTTTGTTTTTTGTTTATGTTTCTTTATTTTTAATAAAGAAAAATGAATGACATGAGTCTAACGTCCATGAATTCAAGTATGATAAAAAAAATCTTTTTATTTATGCTTTAGAACAAATTGAAAATAGAAACAAAAAAGAAAAAACTTTTTTTGGTTGTTTCCAAAATTTCTAAAAAAAATAATTAAGAAACAAAGTTAGTTACAAAATGCTTAGATTTCTTAAGAAAATTGGAAACGAGAAATAAGAAACAAGAATATTACTAAACGAGCCCTAACGTTCTTGTTTCTATTTCTTCTTTTTAATAAAGAAAAATAGAATTGTTTGGGCCCAACATCCACGAATACAATAATGATATAACTATATATTTTTATGTATATGTTTTGAAATAAATTAGAGAGGGAAACAATAAGCAAGAAACTTAATTGTGTTGTTTCGAAAATCTCTATACAAATTTTGAGAATGATTCTATAAAGTTTCTATACAATTTAAAATAAGAAAACATAAATAGTTGTCAAATGGTAAAGTTTCTTAATAAATTTATAAACAAGAAACAAGAAATTGAAACATTATCAATAACATTAATTTTTTTTTAATTTGTTCAATCCAAATATATGTTATATGATTTTAAGTTTTTGTAATCTATTATTGTGCATAAATTAAGAACTATTCTATTTGAATGTGAGCATAGTCTCATGTCAATCAAAAAGGATGAAAACAAATATCTCTACTAATATGAAAGAAAGGCCTTTAAATTAACTTAAATGTAAGTCTAAGCACATTTATACTCAAAGTGGACAATATATTATATCTATTATAAATGTAATCAAAATCTCGCATTGATTAGATAAGAGAAAAATCATAAGTACACAAGTGAAAGACAATATCTCTATTGACACGAGACCTTCTCAATAATAATTTATGCTCAAAGTGTACAAAGAATTTCAACCACGTACGGGTCCTTTGCATTGAATTCTATTTATGGTTTAGCGTTTTTAGTTGAATTGAAAACCATATACACACATATATGTTGGGAGAATTGATTTGATACTTAGAAGCCATATAGTACAAAGAGTTGTGGTCTATTTTTTATTATATGGTTCAATAAATTAGTCTCCTCCCTCAAGTTTCATTCCAATCACAATATTGCATGGATCACGTTCTCAAAGCTGACATGTCTTTTTCATTGACTAAACACATATCCACACTCAACTATAAATTATTAAATGTCATCGGCGACTATTTAATGTATGATAAAAAAAGTTAGGTTAAAAATTTATTAGGTAAAATAATCTTTATGGTTTTAGTTTAATTTTCATTTGGTCGGTGTGACTTTAAACTTTTACAGTCTTTCAGAAATTAATAGTACTAATTAGGGTGAGTTTGTCATATATACTTGCTAATTTAATCATTTAAAAAAAGAATTATTAAAACATTTCTATAAATTAAAATGTAAAATACATTTACTCTATCAAAAGTGTTTATTTGATCCTTAAATTTCAAAAAGTGACAGTTTGGTCCCCGATTTTTAAACAATGATCCATAACATAATTGAGTTGAGAAATTTGAGAGGAGGTGACAATATTAAATAATTATATATTTTTTTTATGTTAATGTATAATTTCTTTTTCTCTTTCCTTCTCTCACTTCTCCCTATTCTCTTCCTCTCTCTTCTTCTTCCCCAATTTTAGTCATTCCATCTTTTACCATCAACGCCAACAAGTACAAATTGTTTCCTTGATAGAAGATGCAGTTGAAGAAAAATCAAAATCCCTAAATTCAGAACTGAGGAATTGAGGATGTTTTGGGAAATCATGAGTAGGGTCTAAGAATTGTGAGGTTAAAGGTGGGAATCAAGGAACGGAGATGAAGTAGAAGTGGCTATTTCTTAAAAAAGTTGTTCTTGAGCAACAAAAACTATGGATGAAAATTGTTTTCGTCACACAAAAAAGCGACGAAAATAACATTTTGTCGTTGCAGTAGAAAAAAAGCAACGAATATGTTAACGAATGCATCGTTCAAAGAGCGACGAAAGAGTTTTCGTTTTCCTATAATTTAAAGACTAAAAATGTATTTTAATCTAAAATAAATCTTAATTTTGGGATGTGATTCGTGGTTAATCAATCAACTCATAATCACCCTCAACTACTATTTCTAAAACCAATTCTAGCTAGTTTTTATTTTTTGTTTTTGTTTATTTTGTCAAACTTAAATAATAATAATGAAAGTCAATTAATCCTTTAAATTCCACCACATTGAGAAAGTGAACCCCTTTTATTTTTATATGCATAAAACAATCTTAAGTTTTTTCCATTAAATTTACATCAATATAAGTTTAGTTGAACGGTAATTAACACATATCTCTGATCGAAAGGTTATGAGTTCGAATTATCATCCCACTTGTTGTAGTAAAAGAAATTAGCTTCTATAATTTGACAAATTTCTTCAACTCAACATAGAGCGTTTTCCTAAAATTGGATGAAAGTGAATTTTCGTATTTCTCCTCTATCACCTTTGAAATTTCTTGTTGGTTCCTTTATTGTCAAAAAAAATCACGTCACTAATCATCTGAAAAGAAAAAAGAAGAACAAGAAGAAGAAATTACGAGGCTAGGATCTGTTAGATTTATAAGGAGAAATCGAAAAGAGAGAGGAATCTCGAAGTAGGAAGGGTGGAGGGTAGAATTGGAATTGAAAAAGTTGATCGCCGTTGCCTTTCCCATGGTGAAGATCTGAGGATTTGATGCAAACCAGAGAGATGGAAGAGAAGACTCTTTCTTAAAGAATTAATTCAATTTCCTCTCTTTTCTATAAAAAAAAAGTTTTGGCGGGAATGTTTGGACACGTGGCGAAGTTTGGTTGGATGAAAGGAATGAACGGACGGGGGTCGTTACGTGGCCGTTCGGAATGGA